TGTAAACTCTATCCTACATAAAGTAAAATGATGCTAATACATACCGTTTATACATTTAGTAAATGACACAAACTCATCGTTCTTTCAGTTTTATCATTGTTGCCCCCTATTATTCATCACGTAATATTCTCCACTCTAGCAGAGGGCTTATTTTGCCTTACTTGTGTTCATTTTGATTTCTAGAGCCCAGTTTGCACAGTGCACCATGAAAACTGCAAGTGTCACTGGAAGAAAAGTGCCTGAGTGCCTTGTTTGTGTTTCAGCATATGGTGTCAATTTTAAAATTTCCAGCAATGCCTTTGCAGTTTAAAACTGTTGTGCTCTGTGTCCTATCTTGTAAAGCAATAACAGGTGAGTTTATTTAACACACTAAGTGTTAAATGTCCTGTCACTCACAGACTGTTTCCAAAACAAAAACAGCGTTCCTTCCATTCTCTCTGGGGTTAAACATTGTAGATCTTGTATTTGTGAAAATCCCAAAAGCTTTTATTAAGACGTGAGAATACAGAAACGACTAATTTGCATGAAATAACATCCTCCATTAGTAGCACGAATCCCGGTACTTATTTATTCAAGTCAGAATGTGGCAATTAAATTGTCAAGCAGAAGTCAATCTGTTCAAACTGTGAGTCAGCTGGGGTGAGACTTGTATGGGATGGCTACTAATTATTTAAGTTTGTTATTTGACTAACGATACAAATAAAAATTCTTTATCACTGTAATTTCATATGATTATATACTGTATGTCTAGAGAGATAAATACAGGTATCATTCTGGTGCAAAAAGTGCAATAAATACTGTACCTATCCCTGAGTATGGAGTGCTTTTATTTCCTTTCAGAGACACTCTCTAGATGTAAAGCAAATAGAAGTTACAGAATTTAACTTTAATCTCACAGGGGATTGTTTAAGGAATGTCTGATGAAAGTGTGGATGTGGATATCTGCAAGCCTTTGGTTTCTCCGGGCTGCTTTGTTGATTTTCTTTTTGTTTACAATTGTAAAATTGGGTCTATAGAATAGAAAAAATAACTACATTAAAAATGTTTCATGAGCTAAATCTGTACAAAACAGACATTTGTTTAAAAAAACTTGTTTAAAACTAAATAAAGTACTCTGCATTGAAATTTTAATAACCTCCCTGCCAGCAGACTTTCAACTTGGATTAATACGTAGGCGGTAGATGGAGTGTTTACCAGAAGAAAAAATGAAATTGCGCTTTTTTAAATTCCTCAGTTTTGGGAAAAGAGAGATTTCCTTTCCATTCCTCGGAGCATTGCTCTGTTTTCTTCACAATGATGTCATTTTTAAAGTTTCCAGACCTTCCTATTATTTCCTGACCTCCTCCAGTGATTTCTATGCTTCTTTTCAACTACGTGTTTCTAGTCAGTAGCAGTGATCTTAACCAGCAACAGATACCCTGTAACTCGTGGTAAAAGCTACTCAAATGGAACAGATCAAATAAACACTAAGTGTTATAAGTGTTGTATTAAAATGTGTCTTCCCCCATCTAAAGAACTAACTTAAAACCAGGACCATTAGAAAATAAAAGCCATTACAGCTATCAGCACATACAGCCATACTGTTTGTTTCAAAAGAAGCTTTCCTAATGACTTTTGATTAATCATTTGAAGGTTTAATAAAAGAAATTAGACTAAAATTGACAGAACCATGTATATTTACAGTATGCTTAAGTGTCCGTAATATGTTTTGCTTTGCCTTGCAGAGCCAACTGAAGGAAAAACAAAAATGACAAAAAAAAAAAAGATTCCTGACAAGCCTCAAAGCACACAGGCAAATAGGCATTAACAGCCATGAAGACTTGCAGAAACTCTGGCAGAGCAATTCGTTCTGACTTCATCTGAAAAACGTCCATGTGTCCATTTTAAGTAACAATTTTATCCTGAGAGTTTCACAGGGATCCAGGGTCTGAACCTGCCGGCACAGAGAGGAAGAAAGGACCCCAGTTGGGGCACCAGTCCACCACAGAGTGCACCCACATACAGGAGATGCCAATTAACCTGCACAGCTGGTCTTCAGACTGTGGGAAGACACAGGATCACCTGTAGAGTACCTTCATGGGCAAAGGGGATCATGCAAACTCAAACACACAGAAGGATTCCCAAACTGGACATAAGACCCAAGAGCTGTGAGGCAGCAGTGTTAATGGTTACACCACTGTGCCATCCATTTTATAAACTTCCACCTCTACACAGTATAAATAAGAAAACACCCACTTTCCATCAAAGAAAGCAACAGGGCAAGTGGTAGCTGGGCAGCAGAATTCCTCTGTATTTCTGAAGTTGTTCTTTAAAAGGATTAACCCCTTCCTACCATGTCCCTCTAAAAAAAAAAAAAAAAACAAACGCCAAAATGAAACAAAAACAATGTGCAATATGGTGGGAAACATTTTCACCACAGACGAATTCCACCTAAAAGACGTAACTAGAGTACTGCTATGACTGAATCACATCTATGTCTGGTCATAATAGAAGCTCAGATGATGCTAACCTACGAACTACATTAGAACAATATTTAGTTAACACTGTGGGCTGCAAATGTAGAGTTCAAAGAACCAACATTAAAGACTCATTTTACACTACGAGGCAGGTGTATTTTTATGAGCTCTCATCTTAAATTGCTATGACTTCACTGGTGGGTCGTCGCCAGCAGTCATTACTGGGAACCAGGCGGTAATTACTGTGGGACATGCAATGTCTGAAGCACTTAACCACCCCACGTTCCCGCAGCCTTCAAACAGTCTCGCAAACCCAAGTGTTACATCATTAAAGCAGAATTACTGCGCCCCCATGGTGTGTGCTCCATGTGTGCCATTTGAAACAATGGGAGAGACCACTGACATGGAGATTTACTGGTCAGTGCTGGCACTTTACTAGGGAAAACTCCTGCACAATAATAAATTGCAGTAAGCTCTTTAAGGGTCCCATATATCACGGAAATCTGTTTTAAAGGTACTTGCAGGAAAATAAAATCATTTGCCTCTTTTTTATGATGAATGCCATTAAATTTAATTTTTCCCTGCTTAAGCCACTGTTAATCGATTGGACCGACTTCAAGACCCCATTTCTGAAGCAGAAGTGTTGGCTATTTACATCAAGCAATATGACAATATATCATTCGTTTATTTCGGTTTCGGTTTTTATGCAGGGCGACTGACACGTTCCGTGTTAAAACTCTCACGTCCTGTAAGTAGAAATTCATTATGCTAGCATACTGTATGTACCTCACCTGTTTTAAGGCACAAACGTCAATATAAAGTTAAAGACTGGATATAGTCTTTGTTTCTGATAGTGGGACTTGATTTAATAATATTAAATGTATTTAAAGTATCTGTAATGTTTTTTTAAAGCAGATTATAGTAGACCATAGCAACCAAAATCTGCGCACATACAGCCATACTTAAAACTCATGAATCTGAAAAGGACACTATTTTCTGATGTCTGCTTTACAAAGTTTTTTTTTTCAATAAAATTCCTGCGGCATTTTAAAGGCATAGGTCTACATAACTTTAGTAATCCACAGTTTATTTGTTTAAAACGCAATTAATAATGATTTAACAATCACTGGTTCTTGTATTACAAATACATTCTGAAAAATCTCTCCCCAGCTTTTACCACCTGAAGGAGCAGATGTCCACTGACACAATAAAAGACCCAGCAATTCCAAACTCACGTGCAAATCTCATCAGCTCCTTAGTTAACAGCAGACGTTTCTAATTCCTTCCAGAAGTTTCCCTAGAACTGGGATGGCAGGGAAGGAAGAGAGTAATGAGAGGGTCCGCTACAAACTAGAGCTTCTCTCCAATGCCAGAAACGAAGAGCAATTTTATGGTCAATTGGGCCGAGCATCTGGAGTCATACATCACAGCTCAAGCCGCTGGTAATGGAGCTAGCTCGCACACTGGCTCAAGGAACTCGGTAATGACTTGCTGTCGCACCTAAACGAAACCCATCTTAATCTACGAAGCTTTGCAAACAGAGGCTTTCCTTTCAAAGGGCCAAATACCCTGAAGGGTGTCTGTCAAATATGCTCAGAATCAAGCCTGTTCCATAT